AAGTTGTTAAGTTGCTTATTATTATGCAGCAAAATTTGTCTTCCTTAACATTAACAAGAGAGTACTTCAACACTCTCCGTCCTCCTTTATGGTTGTGAGACCTGGCCATTGAGAGTAGAAGACATGAAAAGACTAGCTGTCTTTGATCATAGGTACCTGCGTTCTATTTCCCGTGTAAAGTGGCATAATAAGGTGAGCAACATGGAGGTTAGGCGTAGAGTTCTAGGTAAACAGGGGAAATCAATCGACGAAGTCGTGAAGCTACAAAGACTGAGATGGTTAGGACATATGTTACGTATGCCAAGCCATCGCCTCCCTCGACGAGCAATGTTAGCGGATATAGGGTCAGGCTGGAAAAAAGCTAGCGGCGGTCAAACAAAAACTTGGCATCAGTCAATGAAATCCACAACAGTTGGTCTAAGCCACGTAGGAAGGTGCCGACTTCCTGACTGGTTGGGGTCCTCGAGACGATAAAAATCTATGGTTGGAAACAATTGGTGACATGGCTCAAAATCGTTCTCAGTGGCCAGCGCAGATGCATCCACTCCTTGTGACTTATGATCTCCAATGAAACTGTTTTGTTATTCTTTATTCTCCTTTGTCTCACACCTCTTCTCACTGTTTCTATTATGCTTTTCTTGTACTTTCATCTCTTGCTTCGCGTGCTACACGGAGTGTGGCGACTTGAACTTCCGCACATTTGTGCAAAGTTCTATGTCGAAAACAGACAGACAGACAGACATCCAACCAAACAGTTTCAAGCAAATCTCTATACATCAATTCGCCATTTAAAGATGATGTACAAAAAATAGTCAAACAATGATTCGCAAAAGTTGTTAAGTTGCTTATTATTATGCAGCAAAATTTATCTTGCTTAACATTAACAAGAGAGTACTTCAACACTCTGGGAAAGATTGGTGTTCGCCAGTGCTCGAAACTTTAAACTGCCTATATCAATTTGAGTGGAAGCAAATGCATAGGTCTTAGGGAAATGTGATTGTCTACTTGTATGAAAGAGCATTTGCCAAATAATAATAATTTGCTTTAATTCCAAAACAGTAGTTGTAATACAGAATGGAATTCTCAGCATTTTACTACAGTATTGCATCCAGTTTTCACATTAACAACATGTAAAATTCTACATAGATTATGGGTAATCTCAGTTAGTTTTGACAACAACATATTAACAGGTCGGTCGGTAGCAAAGCCAAAAGTGAACAGAGTGTTTGAAGGTGTTAGAAAAGTAGATACTACTAGCATATTTACTGGCGACAGCGGTAAAAAAGGGTCCAGATACACAGTGTCAAGGAACGAATAGGAATGTTTTAAGTAGAGTTTGTAAGCAAGAGAGAAACAAAAACAGCACATAACAAAAAAACGTTGTACCTAAAATGATGTGAGTTGGGAAGACGAGATCCAGTTGTTCTACTGACTATTTAATAAGTGATAGTTGTCAGGCCTAATGCTTTCCTTATCACACAGAACACGAGCTAAGTAAGGTATGGTTGAGTTTCTCTACTTTCTAGAGCGAGCTTATATAGGCTTCTGGTTTTGCCTGATGAGGTAGATACAAGGGGACAGTTGTGAATGAAGAGTTTGAGTGGTGTGATTTAGATAGATAGAATGGATTTAGCCCATTTGTCACATGAGTTCAAGGGCATGTCGACTAGAATATTAACAAGCTGGTTAAGTGGCACCCTGTGGCTTACCCTGCTGACAACCTTTAACATCCTGCGTAATAACGTATGATCTTTCTTCAGTAGCATGAAAAAACTAAGGGGAAACAAAAGAGAATAATAGGCAGGATGCGAGAGTTAACGAATCATAGGATTAAGGGTTGAGTTATTCCAAAATATCTTAACTTCTTGATGTAGAAGGTAAGGCAAGACGGAATATTTTCTTAGAAATCATCAAGATATGAGACGACCAGGAAAGATCAGCAGATAGAATGACGTCTAGGTATTTAATTTCCGACTTGGTTTTTATTTCAGTGCCACCTATGTTGCACACCTCGTGAGTGATAGCCAGTTTGTTTATTAGATCAGATTTATGCCTAAAGGTAAAGTTGACTGTTTGACATTTAGAGGGATTTAAGGTAAGACCGTTTTCCTTGAACCATTAACTGATTTCTGATAAAAAGCCATTTAGTTTGGAGCAGTGACTTTGACATTTAACAGGCAAAGATACAGTCAGGTCGTCAGCATATTTAATAAAAATTAATGTCATTTAAAGATGGTGAGTCATGTAGAAAGAAAGAGAAGAGAAGTGAGGAGAGTACAGCACCTTGGTGGACACCAGCATCAGTGAGTACAGCAGAGGAGGATTTACCTTTGTAAAACATCTGTAATCATAGGGCACAAATATTCAAATAAGAAAACACCCTGTGGACTACGGACATGATAGTGACTCGCTGTCAAGTCATTCACACTGTTGTCAGCGAGGAGGAGAAACACAAACAGGAAGATGCCAGCAATTGCAGAGGAGGCTTTTGTAATTAGAATTCATTAACCAAGTACGGTCTCTGTGTACAGTAGGAAATGGTGGTCACTTTAAAACTACCATGGTAATATATTTCACTTATTAACTGTTTTAATTATTATTAATAATAATAATAATATTAACACTTTATCCTAACTCATATTATTATTGCTGATACCTTTAAAACTATCCTTTTTATAACTGATGTTAGCATGTGATCGAAAATGTGTTCAATCGAATACCTGAAAATTGATTTGTCACTCTGTCTCTCTCCGTCTGATTAGCCAATTATATAAACCTCTAAAAAAACCTTGACCCTATGCGACACTATTGTATGATTACACGTAAGTGCACTAGCTTAATCCTTACGCTTTGATAATCTAAATGATCCACATTCTACTTGTTCGACCTACATTGACATATAATTATGAGCAATACACAAGTCTACTTGAAACTTAACCTAAAGTTCCTAGGTGCGATCCTTGACAGAGTAGTGGATGTGTATTGCTGGAAACAGTGAACCAATACTTCAGTGGAAGGTCGCGACCATTGGGGTCCATCATATCAAGGCGAAATTGGATGATCATCGAATGCATTTAGCGAGGACAGCGCACTATATCACGAGTTGACAAGGTTAGAATTTAAGCTTCATTGAACTCCAGTTCAAGTATTCGTATAATCAACTCGCTTGATCTCATAACCTGAAGGCACCGGGATTCGGTGTCTGACAAGGTCATGGATGCACACCGCTGAAGAATCCAAAAATAGGACGAAACCACTGTCCACTGATCCCGATTTTCAGTGATTTCTCTAAATCATATTGGTTGGGGACGGAAATCTAACAATCGATAAAGGTGCTGTATCAACAATTTGTGCGTTTATCTGGGTGATATCAAATAAAATTGTCTGATATGAAATGAAAATTGAGTAACAGACAGAAATGTTGTACGCCATGCACTTGATGTTCCCTGTTCGATTCCTAGAGAACGCACTACCTTATCTTTATTAACCAGTAAAGAGGGTATGTTGGGTGCGTGATGGTAGAAACCCCATCACCCCGTAAAAGACAACGTTATCGCTATTGAAACTTCCAAGCTAGACAACGTTTGAAGCCCTATCTGTCTCTCTGTCTATCTGTTTTCAACAGAGAACTTTGCACCGATGCGCAACAGTCCGAGTCGCCATATTCCCTCCTTGTAACACACAAAGCAAGAGAAGAAAGTAAAAAGAAATGCAGAATAGAGACAGTAGACAGGGATATGAGACAAAAGGAATAGTAATAACGAAGAACAATATAGTTTCAATGGAAATTATACGTCACAAGAAGTGGATGCATCTTCACCAGCCATTGAGAACGGTGATTTTGAGATAGCCATATCACCAATTGTCTCCAGCCGCCATTGGTTTTTACCATCCCGACGACCTCAACCAACCGAGAAGTCTACATCTTCCTACGTGACTGGCTGACTTAAACTAACTGTTGTGGATTTCATTGAATGATGAAACCATTCTGGTTTTGGTTTGACCACTACTAACTAGCTCTTTTCCAACCTCATGTATCCTATGTCAGCTAACATTGACTGTAGGTTGAGGAAGGCGGTGACTAGACATGCATGCGTAACACATGTGCTAACCATCCCATTCGATGTAACTTCACAGCCTCGTCGACTGATATCCCCTCCCTCCTGTTCTAGCACTCAACCGATGCCTAACCTCAATACTGTTTACCGTACTATACCACCTCACACGGGAGATAGAACGCAGGCACCTACGACCAAAGACAGCCAAACAGCCAGACTTTTCATGTCTTCCACTTTCAATGTCCAGGTCTTGCTCACAGCCTCGGACTGTTGAGCAGTACATGCGCCCTTTGATGGATAGCCAGTCGGATATCACGTCTTCGCCAGAGACGGCGTAAACTGGCAAATGGGGCACAAGCCTCCTGTATTAGTGCTGAGATTTCGTCAGAGATCAACCCGTTGGCACTAGCTGATGCAACTTCCCAAATAAGTGAAGTGGTCAACACACCCCACCAACCACTTCACTCCTGCCTATTTCTAAGCTAGGAGTGTGTCAATGTACTCCAGTCCAGTCCTATAGCCTCATCATCTTACATTTGACAACAGGAGCGAATCGCATGCCAAATATTCGCAGATTACAAATCAAGTTGTTCAGTAGACTCTGCTTTATTTTGTCAGAGTCTTCACCTCATCTGCATATATATTCCAAGTCAACGAGATTATTCCCTGAGTCACTGAAGTGTCTTAAGGTTGATCCCATTAGTACATCAATGATGAAATTGAATAGAAATGGAGATAGTGTACATCCCCCTCCCTCTGACGGACACCACTAGTTGAAGTCCTTTATATTTCACCTCGGAACTCAGAGGATAGTGAGAGAGAGAGAGAGAGAGAGATGGCGAAAACAAAACAGACAGAAACTAGCGTGCAAAAATATAACTGAAAATGAAAATAGGCACAAAGAAAAAACAACAACAAAATAGAGAAAGAATTAAAACTTACACAATTTTCCATAATCATTGCATGACTCAACACCTGATACTGTCATAATATCAGTTGATGATCCCAAATTGGATGTAGCGTCCAGTTGGTGGAACTCCAACAGAAAACTCAACTCTTTTGTCTCCTACAACAACAACAAAAAAGAGCAATAAAATGCAAAATGTTCAGATATCAATTCTGTGATTCTATTTTATTTTAGAAATAATTATTAAATAAACAATACTCGCTTATTTCTAGAGCCTAACACCATCCCTCCACTGGTAATAAGTAAGGAATGTCATACTGTAACAACAGAAGACAGGGGCCAGGCAACAGATCATCTATATGCTAACTGTATCCGCCTACGCAAAGTCTTTGTTCTCATTTTTCCCACGACCAATATTGAGGACGTAAACATTGACGTGAAATACTGTCTACCAATTTTGACTAACAGCCAGCTCTCACCACAATACCAATAGGAAGATGTGTAATTTTATATCTTTTAATGAGATCAATTCGTTCAAGTAAATTTCTATGCAGATACACAAGAGGTGGACACCTTGTCACCTAGTGGATGAGAACACTTTGGTGTTTAAACGTCACGTGCTGCGCATGCCTAGCCATCGCCTCCCCCGACGGGCATTACTAGCTGATATAGGTGCAGGTTGGAAAAGAGTAAGTGATGGCCAAACAAAAACATGGCCTCATCAATCCATGAAAACCTTGACAGTTAAATTGAGTCAGGTAGGGAGGGAGATGTAGACTTCCGGGTTGGGGCCCTCGGGACTGTAGGAATCAATGGCTGGAGACAATAGGTGACATGGCTCAAAATCGTTGTCAACGGTAGACAAGGGCCAGGTAACAGATAGTTTATTAAGGAAACCAACACATATTTATAGATTTCCATGTACATTATTATTGACTATTGTTGGCAGACAAACACAGTCTTCTGATTGGTAGTTTCTCACCGAAAGTTAATCTTTCATCTCTTTGTGGCTGTTTCGTGAACGTCAGATCATCTATCTGCGAATTGTATCCGCCCACGCAAAGTCTGTTGTGATTGGTTGTTGACTCAGTCTTTAGATGTATTCAGTCTCTGTAATCTTTCATATTCCTTTCTACCATTACCCATTCTGTTTCACTCTTATACCTGTCAAACTGTATTGATTCTCTTCACTCATCTTCTTGTCTACATTTGTGTGCTATTTGGAACGTGGCAACTCGAACTGGTGCACTTCGGTGACAAGTTCTATGTCGAATCCAGACAGAGAGGTGTTTAAAGGTGATGAGTGCTGGGTTCAATTGAAAGTACTCATTCAGTGGAGAGAAAGGAAAGACAGCTGACGGTCCCAATTAGGATGAAGTATGCGTCATGTATGGTACTACTACCACTAGACTCTACCAAAACATATATGTTGTCACTATTAATATCGCTAAAGGCATTGTCATCCTTGTAGGGGCAATGTTAGCTGATATAAGATCGATCAGGTTAGAAAAGAGCTAGTTAGTGGTGGTCAAACCAAAATCAACCCGACTTCATCAGTCAATCAAATGCATAACAGTTAGTTTAAACCAGTCAGCCAGCAATCACGTAGGGAGATGTAGACTTCTAGGATGGTTGGGGTCATCATCGGATGCTAAGAACCAATGGCGGCTGGAGAAAAATTGGTGATATATGGCTAGCTTAAAATCATCGTTTTTAATGATGACTGGCACAGATGCATTCACTCTTTGTGATTTGTCATACCAAAGTTTTACACTCTATTGTTCTTCCATAATACTATTATCTCTCTTTATTCTCTATAGTTTGGTTTGTAAGGGTTATTTATGTTTTTTGCGAGTTGATCACGGATTGATTGATTGATATCAAGTTTTCACTATCCAGGGAGTACTCCCTGTGGCTGGTTATCAATGGTTCTCCAATTGATATCAATCCATGATCAACTTGTAAAAACATAACTAACCCTTAGAAACCAACTAATATAGAAAATTAATCTGATGCTCGCTAGTGAGTGACTTGCTACAGGATGACGTTTCCTGGATTGAGTTCTAATGAGAAGTCATGACCAGTGAGGTACATCCAGATTTCACGTGTGAGGATGGATTTCCTACCTAGGACAATGGTTGGGGTCACGCTAAATCTTTCTCTATGGCTCTGAAACATGGCCAATACGCGTTGAAGACATGAAAAGGTTGACTGCTTTCGATCATAGATGTCTGCGATCCCTGTTTCACGTCAGGTGGTATAATAAGGTAAGTAATGTTGACGTTAGGCGTAGAGTGTTGGGCAAACAGGGAAAATCAATCGACGAGGCTATGAAGTTACATAGATAGAGATGGCTAGTTCACGTGCTGCGCATGCCTAACCACCGCCTCCCCCGACGGGCATTGCTAGCTGAAATAGGTTCAGGTTGGAAAAGAGCCAGTGGTGGCCAAACAAAAACATGGCCTCATCAATCCATGAAATCCTTGACAGTTAAACTGAGTCAGGTAGGGAGATGCAGACTCCCGGGTTGGGGCCCTCGGGACTGACTCTAGGAATCAATGGCTGGAGACTATAGGTGACATGGCTCGAAATCGTTGTCAATGGCCAGCGCAGACGTATTCAGTCTCTGTAATCTTTCATATTCTTTTCTACCATTACCCATTCCGTTTCACTCTTATACCTGTCAAACTGTATTGATTCTCTTCACTCATCTTCTTTTCTACCTCTGTGTGCTATTTGGAACGTGGCAACTCGAACTGGTGCTCTTCGGTGCCAAGTTCTATGTTGAATCCAGACAGACAGAAATCACGAATTGGTAGAAGTTAGAATTCATGGGCTGGTGGCCATTAGATCGGGTCCCAGTGGCTGAATGGTCTACGAGCCAGCTTGCCTTGTAACCGGAAGGTTGTGGGGTTAGAATATGGTTGGTGGGTGCGTACTGCCGATGATTTCCAAACTAGGAAGAAACGGCTGGCTATCCAGTACTCCCTGGTTGGTTTTCAATGGTTCTCTAACTGATATCAATCCGTGATCAATCTCTTTATTCTCTTCTCTTGCTTTGTGTGCCACATAGAGAGAGAGAGTGTGTGGCAAATTGAACTGCTGCACATCCCAGCAAAGTTCTATATGTTGAAATCAGTCAGTCAGTCAGTCAGTCATTGTAAAAATACTAATCGTTTTATACGCCAGAGTAATTTTGTACTCATCCCTTTGCAGATGTTTTTAAATAACAAATTACACAATATAGAAGAGTTAATCGAATAGGAACTCAGACAAGACTAAATAAGTAAACTGAATGATGCATTTGCGTCTCTGGTCCAATAGCTGGTAGAATGCTCTCCAACCATGTAGTTCGTCTGGGTATTCACTTCTCAATTGACGCACTTTCATTCAACCGATATTAAGTCCGTTAAAGTAGAAAGATTGGTTATGCGTAAGACTATGAACTTTATCCCATAAAATGAAATCAACATCACCCCCGCTGAAACTCAAAGGTTGAGGCTTGGAGGCCTATGTTCCACTCGGGACACAAAGGAATGACAATAAAATAAATTACGTAATATAAAAAGCGTCAATCTAGTAGAAACTGAAATAAGTGACCTAATATATAATTGAACGAGATTGAACAGAATTCAACTCAAATTGAACCAGAGTCAAGTTAACAACAGTCTGTCTGTCTGTCTGTCTGTTTTCGACATAGAACTTTGCACAAATGTGCGCCAGTTCAAGTCGCCACACTCCGTGTAGCACGCGAAGCAAGAGAAGAAAGTACAAGAAAAGCATTATAGAAACAGTGAGCAGAGGTGTGAGACAAAGGAGGAGTAATAAAGAAATACAAAACAGTTTCATTGGAGATCATAAGTCACAAGGGGTGGATGCATCTGCACCAGCCACTGAGAACGATGAGTTTGAGCCATGTCACCAATTGTTTCCAACCATAGATTTTTACCGTCCCGAGGACCCCAGTCAGGGAGTCTACACCTTCCTACGTGGCTTAGACCAACTGTTGTGGATTTCATTGACTGGTGCCAAGTTTTTGTTTGGCCGCTGCTAGCTTATTTCCAGCCTGACCCTATATCCGCTAACATTGCTCGTCGAGGGAGGCGATGGCTTGGCATACGTAACACATGTCCTAACCATCTCAGTCGATGTAGCTTCACGACTTCGTCGATTGATTTCCCCTGTTTACCTAGAACTCTACGCCTAACCTCCATGTTGCTCACCTTATTATGCCACTTTACACGGGAAATAGAACGCAGGCACCTATGATCAAAGACAGCTAGTCTTTTCATGTCTTCCACTCTCAGTGGCCAGGTCTCGCTACCATAAAGGAGGACGGAGCGGACTGATGAGCAGTACACCCGCCCTTTGGTCGATAGTCGAACATCTCGTCTACGCCAGAGTCGGCGTAAACTCAGACATGCGAAACGAGCCCCTTGTATTCGTGCTGACATTTCGTCAGAGATCAGCCCGTTGGCACTGGCTGATGGTACTTCCCAAATAAGTGAAGCGGTTAACGTGCTCTACCACTTCACTTCCTATTTTTAAACTAGGCGTCGATGTAGTCCAGTCCTGTAACATCATCTTGCATTTGGTGATAAGGTGTAGAAATTTATCAAGGAGTTAGGTAAGATGATAATACAATTAGAATAAAAAGAAAGTTACATACTCGGTGTTATAAGACTGTCTGTTTTCGACATAGAACTTAGCACATATGTGCACCAGTTCAAGTCGCCCCACATTCGCTCCTTGGAGCATACAAAGAAAGAGAAGAAGGTAGAAATGTATAATAGAGACAGTAAAAAGAGGTGTGAGATAAAGGAATAGTAATCTGTCTGTCTGTCTGTCTGGATTCAACATAGAACTTGGCACCGAAGTGCAGAAGTTCGAGTTGCCACGTTCCAAATACCACACAGAGGTAGACAAGAAGATGAGTGAAGTGAATCAATACAGTCTGACAAGTATAAGAGTGAAACAGAATGGGTAATGGTAGAAAGGAATATGAAAGATTACAGAGACTGAATACATCTGCGCCATTGACAACGATTTTTAGCCATGTCACCTATTGTCTCCAGCCATTGGTTCCTAGAGTCAGTCCCGAGGGCCCCAACCCGGGAGTCTGCATCTCCCTCCCTACCTGACTCAGTTTAACTGTCAAG